ATTACTTTGCATGCTTTCTTGAATAGTTGATAAATTTTGACTGAGAAGCGTTCTATTTCCATTTTGACACTAAAGCTAAGAAAATACAAGTTATTTTTTATTTTAAATTATATGTATATATATACACACACATATGCACTCTAACCCACACAAAGGAAGTAAGGTTTCTTTCCATCTACTAGAGGGAAAACGTACTAAATAAACCAGACTTACCTAATACTTCACTGTAAAATTTATCCCACTACTTCTTGTTAAAAGTCTCAAATGCAAAGTCAAAATATAGCTAATACAACATATTTGTTACCATCTCCATAAATGTCCTTTTGTCCCTAAGTTCTGATATGATAACAGGTACATAGGAAGGAGGTAATATGAGCCCTCCACAGAGTTTTTCATTTGTATTGTCAGTGGTAAGTCAAAGACTGTAGACCAAAGGTAGGTTAAGTAGTTCAGACAGCAGCTCAGCACAAGGAGAAATGGCATGTCCAAAAACAACATCAAATCTGTATTCTGCAGTTTTTTCACAAGTTTTTTGTTCAAAACTGCATCCTCACAGAGCTTTTGAACAGTATCAGAATATTCATAATATGCTTTTTGCATCTTTGAATCATATGCCCATAATGTATTCTTTGGTAACTCGTATGTCCATATCTTGATCCATTTTGTAAAAAGCAAATCAAGCTCATTCTTAGTGAAGGATGTAGAGTGAACCTCAAATTTAAGGGTAGATGGCTTATTGAGACCCACAAGGATGGTGAAGATACTAGCACAGTAACTTCATGGTCCCTCTGAGCAAGTTCATCCCACATTGTCTTTAAATTGATGCAGTGATTATATTCCATTGGCCACAGCAGCACCTTTCCACAAGATGCACAGCTGAAATAAAAGGAAAGGACAAGAAGAGAAGCCCATGTCTTAGACATCTTGATAAAATCCAAACCTTCTTCATAAACTTTCTTTACTGCAGAGGTAGCTCTCACTTATATCCAGGATGGAGTCAATTAAGTAGTTAAAATATAACTGGCACATAGCAAGGTCACAATGACTATGAGGTAAAGATTTTGTTTCCAAGAGCACGCCTTCATAATTTCTCTGCAACTAATCTCCAGTTCAGAAGCTTTGGAAAGCAAATAGATAAAGAAAAGCGTAGATGATCTTGTGCCTCTATGTGTGAAAAATAAATCCCAGTATCATTGTAAATGCTACTGGCTCTAGGCTAAGAAGAAATTACCTTGTATGTAGGGAGTTTCCAGATACGAAAGCAGCATGTGTCAACACAAGGATATTCTGATTTATTTGAGCATTTCCAAGCATTTCTTTCTCCATATTTTCACACCTGTTTTATTAGACCCATTTCATTTAGCTTGCTGTTGTTCTTTTGGCTATAGTTATTCCTTCCCTTTTTTCCTTTTTATCCAAACATGGGTATCCTTTGAGTATCAACTTTGGTTACTTTCCTTTATTTAAGAATATTATCTCTGAATTATGATCATTTCCTTTTCTGAACATTTGCAACATTCCTTATATTTCTCTCACTTCTTCAGTACTTCCCAATACTTACTCTTAGAAAGTATTTATCCTCTAAGTACCTTCTTCTGAACTTTGTTTTGTATCCTGCCTTTGTAGTCCAGGTAAGTTATATTTTAAAATGATCTTACTAGGACTTCCCATCAAATTAGAAGTAGGAAGGGAAAGATGCATGTCATGGGATAGATTTGTTTTTATGCTATCAATAATCTATTGACCTGAAATGAGAGGAGAATCTCCTTAGAAAAGGATTTGGACACAGATTCTAAGTAAACATTCATTCTGTGAGTGATATAAGCTTTTAAGTGTAGCAACTAATTTGGGAACAATATCCTCATCATCTTGCCTTGTAAACATATGAAAGTAATGGATAAATTCACATTTCTCATGTTAGGATCCTCCAGAGGTATTGCATCGGGTTTTGTGAAGACTGGAATGGAAGATGGCTGCTAACTGCAAAGGGATGGTGCAGGAGTAATAGTACCAGCAGTGATTTCTTATACCTCTCACAGAGGTAAGATGATACCATCATGACACCTGGACAGTGAATCTTCCCTCAGTTCTTAGTAATTATCGATGAAATAGCAGTTTTATCTCAACAAAGGAAGAAAGATCTAGTTTATTGCAAACTCTCCATGAGTTTTAGGATCTCCCCTATCATAATCTGCATGACGAGACTTTATGTCTAGGAGTCCTGGAAAGGAGACAAGATCTAAATTGAGGCATGTTCATGAAGGCAAAGGATCTCCAGGATAGTGGGGTGGCTTCCCTTCATGAAAAGATCATAATTTTATCATCTGACAATTCCTTTAAGGGTGAAAGGCGCCTTCATTTCATGGTGTCATATGGATTGCTGATATCATAGAAGATTTCATCTGAGTGTATTAAAGGTTGTCTCTGGGGGAAATGAATGGCAGGAACTGACAATGAGAGGTTAGAATCTCAGCCTCTTTGGCTAAGTCTAGAGCCAGAATCTAGAACTTTGGTAGAATTGGAATGGAATTCAGAAGCAAACAACCTGGGGTGGAAGTGAAATTGAGAAGCAGGTTGATAAGGTTTCAATGTTCATTGCAGAACTTATGGTTCTCTATTTTATAGACAGCAGACGCTTCTAAGTCCCAAATGTATTACTCTTTAAAATACAGTTAATATTCTCCTAAATTAGGGAGTATGTTAAATCTAAGATACAGGTGAATCATTATTTTTGGTAAAACATGTAGAACATAAGAGAAACAAATCCTTCATTGTAAAAAACAAGCAAGTTTGAAAATCAAAACATAAAATATAAATCACTTTTTTGTGATGTATAGAAAGTGACTTTGTATTCACATATGTATGCATGTAATGTACAAAATACTTGCATCTACCTATTAGTGTTTTCAATTGTCATGATACAGAAGAAAATTGAGCAGGATTCTATAATATAGTCACATATGAATAGTAAATAGTTTAAAAATAAAGTATGTTAAGACATGTTATTTTAACTGACTAGAAAAGCCAGAGGTCATCAAACTCCTGAAAAATATGTTTTTATTAAAACTTAAACTAGAAAAAATATGATACGTTACAAAGATTTAGCTTCTACACACCTAAAATTATTACCAGATTGTTAATATATTTAATATAGTAATGTATAGATGATTTAAATAGGTAAATATTTGTGTTTAAGAAAAGCTTTGGTCTCTACAAGATAGAATATATTTGTTTATTTGCCAGGGTAGTTCTTTTGAATAAACTCAGAAATTGCTAACAAGGTATCCAAATCTTGAGTTTACTTAAACTCCTTTATGTTACATCATTTGATAATAATGAAAAAAGTGAAGGGATATCTTGACATTGGTATAAAATAACCAAAGATTAAACTATGATTTTATAGAGTATTTTAGGAAATAACATTATCTTATTGCCAGAATAAATGATTTAGCACTATGGTAAATTATTGCTTCGATTACATTAATTAGATTGTAAACAAGGTAGCATTGTGTTTACATTTTTCAAAATATATACCTTAAAGCATTATAATTAGTTAATTATCTCAAAACCTCATAAAATTGAGAAAATATCTTTTTTTGTATATCTCTTTATAGTTAATTCCACACCTAAGAATAAATTTATCTTTATCTTGTTCTTATTTGTGCCACTATTCCTGTAACAAAGAAGATAATTGCCCAAATGATTTATAACTATTCTAAGATAGAGCTATAATTTTAGGCCTCTTAAACTTGAGTTATAAATTTCAAACTCTGTGGTAAATCATTTAATGAACTTGGTTACTACTATGTAATACCATCACAGTTAAATAATATTTTGACCTCAAGGGCAAAACACTGACAAACATAATGGAAGATAGACTTTTTAGAAAAGAAAGGAAAATATATTCTTTATTTTTATTAAAATTGAACTTGTGTCTTCATGTTTACTGCAGATTTCTGACTGATGCTAGTTAATAAGAAGCCTAGGTACTTGTGCTTATTATAGCTGTCCCAGTACAGTTCATGAGAGGACCAGGGGAAGTGATGGGACAAAGGAAAAGGAAGAAATGGGCAAACTCTTGAGTTTCTGATGGAGAAATCAAACCCATAGAAAATAGCATTTCTGAGAAATACATTTTCTTCCCAAAGTATTTGCAGAGTAGCTCTTAAGTAATTTGCTTCTTCTTTTCAAATATGTACATTGTAAGTAAAATTAATGTAGGAAAGAATTAAATAAACTTTTAAATTAATTTAAAAGGGTAGGAATTAAATTCCAATCATTTACTTCTGCTCCATCATATCATCAACCATGCTAACATATGATAATCAGCTAGTTCTCCGAAGCCACGAAGTGTTACAATACAAATGAAGTACTATCATTATTAATATCCAAATGAAGGGAAATCTTCAAATCAAAGACCAAAAATAGTGTTTTGTATTCCAAGAGGGACAAAGTCTGATGTGTCATATGAAAGGAAATTGATAGTGTAAAATCTGCTTTACAACAGATTAGAAACCCTGACAGTTTCCTGATCTTCCTGACCAGAAGGGCAGCTCTGGCTAGAGTAGTATTTTACATTACTTCTTGTCTAATTCCTTTAGATAATATGCAATAATTCTCATACACTGGACCCAAAACGATGTTATTTAGGAAATATTCAACATGAGCAGTACTGAAAATAGAATTAATCATTATGTTCCTAAGGTCTCAAACAGCATCTCATTTGGTTGAACTGAAAGAAAGAAATAAAGCACTGAGACTTTAATGGTAATAACTTCCATGTGTTTAATTGTTTATATTCTCTTTTAAAGAACAGATTAATTTAAACCTTAATTCTGAATCATGTGGCATATTTTTGGGGTGAGTCTTTGATCTGTGACTTGATAAGCTGAGGAATGGACAAGAACCTGGGGAAGTAGGAGAGGAATCTATTCTAATCAGTGGCTGGGTTAATTCAGATGGATCCTACCAAAGTTTCCAGCTGAACTGTTAAAAAAAAACTACTCTCTCTTTTTCTTCTTCGCAGTTTTACCAAACTTCCAGCAACAAAACAGGCAACATTTAGTGATCAGGAATATAAAAGTTGCCACACATGCTAGGAGGAACCCAATCACATAAAAAAAATTGTACTGGTACTAGGTGTGGTTGTGGATGGCTGGCCAAAGGTGTTTGACTCCTTTATGGCACATGATAAACTCAATCCAGAAGAACTGCTCATTCCAGAGGCTTCATAGGCTGATCACGGTGAATTCTTGCTAACTTCATGGCATTCTCTTTATAGCTAAAATTGAATATACAGATAGCAACTTGAAAAATTTGTTAAGGACATGATATACCTAAAACTGTTATATATTATTAAAAGTATATTACATAATTATATAATAAGTTGTGTCATAAATGATATCACCAAGAGTCAGAATGCATATGAAAGTTTGTTTCCTCTTGAGATATTTCTAGATATGGTGGCTTATCAGCTGGAATTTGTTGGATGTTTCATAGTCTCAGTAATGATTGGAGGCAGGGGAGAAAAGAATTTCTAACTGGAAATAGCATTTTGAAAGTTCAGAAATAGGAATGTAGAATATGTAGGTTGAGAATACAGAATTTGGTTTCATTTGATGAGTGTAGTATTGGGAACATGATAGTGACAAGAAGCAGCAATGAGGGGAAAGTTTATGAAAAAGGAACCCTTCCCCCCACCACTCTGCCCTTCCCCAGGTTCTGTCTGGAGTGTCTGTTAGCAAGGAGCTAGTCTTCAATAGTAATGGGAAATGGTTTCAGTCTGTGATTTTCATGGCCCTGGCATTCCAGATGAAACCAGTAAGTTTCATGTGACAGTCTGGGCAAGAAGTGAGTAGATGCTGGACTCTTTGCTTCAAGCTACAGAGGGATGCAAGTGTCAGTGTTGAGATAGAACAATGGCAATAGCTAGAACACTAACCCTTCTAACTTCTATCATGGAACAAAGACCAGACCAAGGTTTGGTTTAAGGTTTTGAATGGCTGATTTAGAAAAAGGATTTCCTTGTATCTGTGAAGGAGTTGAAGGAGGAAGGTTATTCTCCCACACTGAAGTGCAGTCATCATTGATGGAGAATATAGAACACTAAATTGTAGAAGATAGTGGAAGAGCATGTAGAAAGTTCTGAGGAAGGGAACGGTAAATCAGAAAAACATCAAATCCTTGTTGCTCTTTGGTTTAAAAAAAAAAAAGGCCTTTCTTAATACCAAGAATTTAAGGAATAAGTACTTCTGAATATATCTCAAGGAAACAAGGAAATAGCAATAAGAAACCCTCCAAGACACAAAAACAAAATATCTGTCAGATAAAAAATTAATGAAAAGAAAATCCTCCAGGAATAGAGAGACTGCAATAAAAAGAAAGTGCATCATTAAATCCATATAAATACAAAACTAAGGCTAAATGTTATTCGAAATTTTGGTCATGGACAAAATGTGTACATTGTAAGTTTTGAACATGTTATAATGATAATACAGCAAACAAAAATTAAGATGTGATGTTTAGGTGACATGAATGGGAAGTTTAAAAGTGACTTCATAGTGAAAAGTATTCTATATTGACCAAAATTGGAAATATTTAAAAAGTAATTATTCTAAACTCTAATGTAAATATTTGTACATAGAATTATAGGAAAATTTTAGTAAGAATTTATCTAATATTAAAAAAACTCTCCAACCGTGGCAATTCTTTTAATATAGCTTATTTTTTTCCAACAATATATTTGATTTATTTGAAATACACTAAAATGATAAATATAATCACTTGCTGTTGAGAATATTTTTATTTATTTATAATCACAGCTAATCACCATGCAGTACAAATATCCCTATAACTTATTCACTTCAAACTAAAAGTTTGTACCCTTTGACCAACATCTCTTCACTTCCCAAACCCCTAGACTCTAGTTACCACCAACCTGCTTTCAGTTTCTATGAATTTGACTTTTTAGATTACACATATAAGTGATATCATACAGTATTTGGCTTTCTCTGCCTGACTTATTTCACTTAGAACAATGCCATGTTACACAAATGGCAGGATTTCCTTCTTTCTCTTTGCTGAATAATATTTCTTTACATACATATGCCACATCTTCTTTATCCATTTATCCATTGATGGATAATTAGGTTGTTTTTATATCTTAGTTGTTATGAATAACGCTACAATGAACATAGAAATGCAGGTATCTCTTCCATATTCCATTGTAATTTCCTTTAGATGTATACCCCAAAGTGGCATTGCTGAATGATGTAGTAGTTCTATTTTAAATTTTTGGAGGAAGCGCCATCCTATTTTCCATAGTGGTTACAGCAATTTACATTCCTACCAACACCCTTCTTCACTTCCTCACCAACATTTGTTATACTTTTTCTCTCATTGATGGCCATTCTAATAGGTATGAGGTGATATTTCATTGTGGTTTTGATTTGCATTTTCTGATGCTTACTGATGTCAACCCCTCTTTCATGTATCTGTTGGCCATTTGTACATCTTCTTTGGAAAAATGTTTATTTAGTAACTCTACTAATTTTAAAATTTTTCTTTACTTGAGTTATATGAGTTTTTATAAATTTTGTATTTTAACCTTATCAAATATCTAATTTGCAAATATTTTCTCCCATTTTGTACGTTTTCTTTCATTTTGTATATCATTTCTTTTGCTGTGCAGGAGCTTTTAAATTTGATGTAGCCCACTTGTTGATTCTTGTATTTGTTCCTTGTGCTGTCGTTGGCACATCCAAAATATTGTTACAAAGACCCTTGTCAAGGAGCTTTTCTCCCCAATATTTTCTTCTAGGAGTTGTATGGTTTCAGGTCTTATGTTTAAGTTTTTAATCCATTTCTAGTTAATCTTTGTAAGTGATGTAAGATAGGGGTCCAATTTCATTCTGCTATATGAGATTATCTAGGTTCCCCAGCACCATTTATTGAAGACACAACTGTTTTCTTATTGAGTATTCTTGGCTTTTTTGTCAAATATTTTTTTACCTTATATGTGAGGGTTTACTTTTGGACACTCAATCCTGTCCGTTGGTCTATGTGTCTGTTTTTATGCCAGTACCATACTTTTAGAAGATCTGTAGCTTTGTAGTACCTACAATTTAGGATTTGTGTTTCTATTTCTGTGCCCCAAAAGGCTTTAGAAACTGGTCACTTGACTTTCCTGTTGAGAAACTCTTTCTAGCTGGGAAGTTCCCTCTTGGTGTTGAGTAATGCTGGCTTGGAAATGGGATGATATGGGTAAAATGAAGCTGTCTTCATTCTGTTTTTGTGTGATTATTCTCAGGATTTTTTAGTTCCACAGTGTTGCTAAAATTCCTTAAGTGGACTTTAGAGCTCTCCCAGAGATGTTTTTGTTTATGGGTACTGTCGTGTCTAATTGTCGATCTTTGTCAGGGGACAGGGAGGCTGGGGTCTTCTATGTCTCCATTTGGATCTCACTGTCTCACACTCTTTACTTCACTGTCTTTCTCTTGTTTTCAATTAAAATATACCAATATAGGATGTTTTTAATTAACAAGTAGAATGATCCTATTTTTATAAAAGTATTTCTATCTTTTTTTTCTAGTTATAAATTAGCACGAGGAAATACCTAAAGTAATATTTCTATACTGATGGTTATAGCTGCATGTGGAGAGTTAAGTGATTTTTCATTTTTATTTCTCTATGCTTTTTTATATTGTCTAAATTCTTTATAGTGTTAACATCTGCATTTTTAAGAGAGAAACAATAAATATTATTAATAAAAATATTTGTGTCTCTTTAACAGCAGCTTAGTTTCTTTAAATAAATTTAGTATTTCTTTGAGGTTGTAATCTATTACCCAGTAACAGTAGGTGAATCTAAATACTTTCATAGAATTTGAGAAGTGTAAGACAATCATATTTTATGTTAGTTATGTCCTGGTGATTATGTAAAAGTAATCAATTTAACTGAATGAAACAACTTACTCCTTTTAAAATACCGACGCTTCTCAGAAAAGAATATAGTCTATACTCAGGAAGGGTTGTTAATAACTGTGTTCAAAGTGTTAAGGAGATTGAAACTCGTAATTATATGCAAATTTAATTCAACAGCTGCCCCTTTGGCTTTTATATGAGCAATATTATCATGCTGATCACCAAACAGGGGAATTACCACCATAGGGACCCTGTGGTAAATAGCTTCATAGATCCCATTGGTTCCACAGTGAGTAATAAAAGCTCTGGCTTTGGGATGACCTAAAAATAAAATATATATCATTAGTAACAGTTTCAGATACAGAAAATCATGACACCTTTATAAATCATTAATTCAATTAGGTAGCATCTTCTCCATAATTCTGTGCCATGAGGCCATATATAAATTCCTATAGGCTCTAAAGAAAGCAGCAATTAATTATTCCAGGCTAAGCAGCAATTAGTAATTCCAGCAATTAAGTCATTCCACACCTGTGAAAAGTTTGTGCAGAGTTAACCGATGGAGAGCACTTGACGTTGGACAGTTGCTGGGGTGAGAATACTTTAATAAAAAGGAATGGAGGGTTTTAAGAAAACAAACGCTTGCTTTAGTAGGGAAAGGGAGTTGAGATGTGCAGGGTTTCAATGTGAGAATGTTGGCATAACAGGCTAGAAAGATCGACCTGGGCAAGTTCATGTAGTACTCTGTTTTAAAAATTGGATTTTTAATTGATTATAAGTAATTTGAACCATTTATAATATTGTAGATGGTGAAATGGCTTATCAGATTTTTTTTTCAAACAGCTACTGTGGGAAAAGTGAAGAGAGGAGGAAGATAATGGATACAGAAAGCCAGGAGGGTGTTGCAATATTCTATACAAAAGATAATAAGAGCCTGATGTAAAGGTACTTTCTTTGGCTCTGATTCTGAGGAGGGAGAGATTGTATCATAAACAGAAGAATTATAAATACCATATTTATGTTAGTGCTTGACAAAGATTCCATATTTGACCAAACTCTAGTCAGGCTCCTCTGAACTCTCTTTTCAAGTAGACCCTGATCTGGGGGCTTTTTGTTTGTCTCTGCATTGCCCAATTTTAGCAACCATCCTTCTAAAGTCAGTTTAGCTAGATTCTCCCAGTACTGATACCTGATCACTCTTTTGAGCTGCTGCTTCCTCTTTCACCATCCCCCAAGTGATGGCTGATCACCCTGGCCTGCTGTCAACAAGAATCGGATTAGGTTAGTTTTGCCAGCGTCCTCCCTTGACCCTGATGTTTCTTCTAGTGATTTTCCATTCCACTGACCTCCTTCTCTGCACTTTGGTTATAAATTTCCCACTTTTCTTTCTGCATGCAGAGTTTAGTCCAATCTCTCTGTCTTACTGTAAAAGTCCATTGCAGTAGTTACTGTACTTATCATGGTGGTCTTGGCTAAAGTGTGCCTTACAGTCTTTAACAAGTGTCATGAATAAGTTTTTCTTTAACAAGCTCCAGAAGAAATGTGGAGAAGAAATTAAGTCTTTTTTCTTATTTTGAATACAACTTATCTGTTATTGAGTAATCATTCAGATTATTCCTCATTCGTAATTAAGCAAAATTATTTAATTTTGCTTCTCTTTGGTCTTACCCAAGAAGATCATTCTGTGGAATCCATCCATATAGCCGGGTATTTGCTCCTAGTGTTTCTGGTTTCTTTTCCTGTGTATCTCCACAGAACCTGCTAAGACAAGTGCATTTACTCTATTAGAAAACTTTTAGAATCACATCCCATCAGAAGGAGGCAGTTAACTTAGAATTAATCAGGTTTCATGACTCCAGGTAATACACAAGCAAACTGAGGTCCTAAGTGATTAAGTAATGAATGTTTTTAAACCTTTGACACCACAACAGTGTTTTCAAATGTTTGCAATAATCCTAGTCGATAGGCTATCATCATCAGGTTAATTCTAACTTGTAGATGAAGATAAAAGACAATCTGTATCTGAAACAAGTGTATATTGGTATTACTAGGCCATTCTGGTAAAGTGGATTTTGAAACAAAGTTTTCAGAGGCAAAGGGAAGGAATGTGATTTACCTCACTAAGAAATTGTTAGGGCTTTGATCTTTGTTATATACTTGGTAGTAACTTAGAATCAAGTATTTCCTTTTTTATTATACATAATGATGTCTATCATTTTAAAGTATTGTAATTATAGAATCTGGTGGCACTAAATACATCCACAGTGGTGTGTAACGATAAGCACTATCTATACCCCAAATGTTTTCATCTTCCCTACATAAACTCTGTATCATTAAGCAATAACTCCCTATTCCCCCCACTCCCTAGCCCCTGGTACCTCTATTCTACTTTCTGTCTCCATGAATTTGTCTAATCTAGGTATCTGATATAAGTGGAATCATACAGTATTTGTCTTCTGACAACATTATTTCACTTAGCATTATGTCTTCAAGGTTCATGTATATTGTAACATATCAGAATTTCCTTTCTTTTTAAGGCTGAATAATATTCCATTTTGTGTGTATATCACATTTTCTTTATCCATTCATTCTGGTATTGTGAACAATGTTGCTGTGACCATTGTTGTACAAATATCTGTTTGAGTCCCTGATTTCAATTTCTCTTCATAAATAGTCAGGATTAGAATTACTGGGGCATATAACAGCTCTATGTTTAACTTAGTGAAGAACAAGAAAAATGTTTTCCAGAGCAGATACATCATTTTGCACAATTATGAGTATAATAGAGAAGAACAAATCTGATTTCACATTAGATCTGTTTCTTTTACTTTAACCTTTATGTTCTGTTTCCTGTGTTGGTCATGCTGGCTCTGTACCTTTTGTAAAATAATGTTGCCTACAGCCTGAAATGTACAGGATAGCCTATTCTCAAGGCTCTGACCTTTAAGAGTCCATTAATATAGAGATAAAAGTTGCAGAACAGAAAATAATATTTGTCTTGTTGGAGGTTTACAGGAACATCATGACCTGACCTACTTGGAGAGTGGCAAGAACAAAGTAGTGTCCTACACCAAGAAGTTTGCAACAACTAACCACATACCTCTCTCACCTTGCCTTTAAAAGTGCTTTGTTGAAACACTTTGGAGAGTTCAGGGCTTTCTGGGCACAAGCCACCCACCTCCTTTGTGGACTTGCAGTAAACCTTTCTCTGCTCCAAACTCCTATGTTTTGGTTTGTCTGGACTAACTGCATCAGGTATACAAACTTGCATTCGGTAACAGAATTGTAACGCACGAGGTCCTATTTCTCCACATTCACACCAACCCTTGCTATTTTCCTTTTATTTATTTTTTATAATAGCCATCTTAATGTGTGAAGTGGTTCTTTGATTTGCATTTCCTTAATGATTAATGATTTTGAGCATCCTTGCATGTACTTTTTGACCATTTGTATATCTTATTTTGAGAAGTATCTATTCAAGTACTTTCCCATTTTTCAATTGTTTTTTTTGTTGTTGTTGAGTTATAGGAGTTCTTTATATATTGTGCACATTAGTTCCTTATCAGATACGTGATTTGCAAAGATTGTCTCCCAATCTGTATATTGTATTTCACTTTCTTGATAGTATCTTTTGATGCACAAAGTTCTGCATTTGATGAAGTCCAATTTATTTACTTTTATTGTTTGTGCTTTTGGTGTCATACCTATGAAATCATAGCAAAATACAATGTGATGAAGTTTTCCCTTAGAATTTTCTTGTAAAAGTATTATGTTTTTACTTCTAAAGTTTGTCTCTGATCCATTTTGAGTTAAATTTTTTAAGGTAAGTGTTCAACTTTATTCCTTTGCATGTGGATATCAAGATTTTACAAGCACTATTTGTTGAGAAGATTGTCCTTTCCCCACTGAATGGTCTTGCATCCTTGTTGAAAATCAATTGCCCATACGTGTGAGGGTTAATTTCTACTTTGTCTTCTATTCCATTGGTTTATATGTCTGCCCTTTTCCCATTACTACACTGTTAATTTACTGTAGGTTTATAGTAAATTTCTAACTTCAGTGTTTGAAAGTGTGAGTCCTTTAACTTTGTTGTTTTTCAGGATTGTTTCGTCTATTTGTGGTTCTTGTAGTTCCATATGAGGTTGAGGATTGGATTTTTTATTTCTACAAAAATGCTGTTAGAGTTTTGATAGGCATTGCATTAAATCTGTAGATAGTTTTGCATAGTGTTGACATCTTAACCATGTTAAGTATTCCTATCATGAACATAGGATGAGTTTCCATGCATTTAGGTATCCTTTAATTTCTTGCAGCAATAATGTGGGGAATTCCCTGGCTGTCCAGTGGTTAGGGTCCTGAGCTTCCACTGCAGGAGGCATAGGTTCAATCCCTGGTTGGGGAACTAAGATCCTACATGCCACACAGCACAGTAATAATAATAATAAGAATATTTTGTGGTTCTCATCATTCAAATGTTTTACCTCTTTGGTTAGATTTATTCTTAAGTATTTAATTTGTTTTGTTGCTCTAGTAAGTGGAAGTTTAAAAATTTCATGTTCAGAGTGTTCACTGACCTTGTGTGTATGAACAAAACTGATTTTTGCCCGTTAATCTTGTATTATGCACCTTAGTTAAGTTTGGTTATTATCCTTAGTAGTTTTTTGTGAATTCTTTGAGATTTTCTATGTATAGTATCATGTCACCTGCAAATACATATTGCTTTACCTCTCTCATTCCAATGTGGATGCATTTTTATTTCTTTTTCCTGTGTCATTCCTATGCTAAAACTTCTGGTATAAGGTTAAATAGCAGCAGTGAAACAATACAACCTTGTATTGTTCCTGATCTTAGGAAGAAAGCTTTCAGTTTATACCACTGAATATGACATAAGCTGTGGGTTTTTCAAAAGTATCCTGTATCATATTGAGGACTTCTCCCTCTATTCCTAAATTTCTTGAGAGTTTTCATCAAAAGAATGTTGGATTTTCTCAACTTCTTTTTCTGTGTAAGTTAAAATGATCATTTGTTTGTCTGTTTTTCCCTTCATTATATTCATGTGCTGTATTACATGGATTGATTTACATTTGCTGAACCAGCTTTGCAAAAATAGAATAAGTATCATTTTACTATGGTGAATACTCCTTTCAATATTCTAGTGGATTTGATCTGCAAATCTTTTCTTGAGTATTTTAATGTCCATATTTAGAAATGATCATGGTCCGTAATTTTATTTTGTGGTGTCTTTATCTGGCTGTTGGGAAAACTAGTAAAGTAGTCTTGTTTAGGCTTCAGAGGCAAAAGAAGGCCTCTGACTGACTTGTGATCCTGCCTGGACTGCAGGCCTGCTTGCACACCTAACAATTCTTACTAACAACTCAAGCAGCAAGTACAATAAGAAAGGGAGTGGGTCTTGGAATTTCTTGAGCCCTGGGGACCTGGCCAGTCCCCTGGGGTCTAGAAAATCTTGTGACTCATATGGTGAAATCAACAGCATTGTTACAGTTGAACCAGAGCTGCATTTTTGCATGCAAACTGATGACATCAGTTTGTGGCCTGGAATTATAAACGGAAGCCCCCAGAACTACAATTTGAAGTTTCACCCCTGAGGTGGACGCACCGCCTGGGACCCTTCCCAGCTGGGACTCCAGATTGCTGTTACTCGGGATTTCCCAGCTGCTGTTTGAATCTGGATGAAGATGTCGGCCCAATCTGGTGATGTATACTCTGTTATGTCTTTCTAATACTTTTATTAATCCCCTTCTAATGACTGTATATTGAAATTAAGTTAAATCATCTTCTATTAAAGAAATTAATTAAATCTGTTCAGTTGTGTGAGACAAGTGGGTATTTTGCTGGTGAGTCCAACGAACCTTGAAACTGAAAGCAGGTTTCGGCAATACACAGGCTTTCATATCAGGTAAATCTAACCTCACAGCATTATATAATGTTTCCTTCTTTTCACTTTTTTGGAATATTTGAAAAGGATTACTTAATTATGTAAATGTTTGATAGAATTTGCCAGTGATGCTATCTCTCCAGGACTTTTCCTTTTTGGTAGGTTTTTGATTACTATTTCAGTCTCTTAATTTGATATATGTCTGTTGAAATACTCTATTTCTTGTTTAGTCAGTGTAAGTAAATTGAGTTTTTCAAGGTATTTATCCACGTATTCCAGGTTGTCTAATTTTTGTCGTGCAAGTTTTGATAATATCCTCTTTTTTTTCTTTCAGTTTTGTTGATATATAATTGACATACAGCACTAAGTTTAAGTTGTATAGCATTATAATTTTACTTACATACATTATGAAGTGATTATCACAATAAGTGATAAGTGAATAAGTGAATATCCATCATCTTATGTAGGTACAAAATTAAAGAAATAGAAAAAAAATTTCTTCACATGAGAACTCAAGATTTACTCTCAACAATTTTCACATATAACATACCGCAGTGTTTATTTATGATGTATATTGCATTCCTAGTACTCATTTATCGTATAACTGGAAGTTTGAACCTTTTAACCGCCTTCCTCCAATTTTCCTTTCCCCAGTCCCCTGCCTCTGGTAACCACAAATCTAATCTATTTTTCCATGAGGTTGTTTTTTCTTTTCTGTTTTGAAGTATAACTAACCTACAACACTATGTTAGTTCCTGTTACACAATATAGCTATTTGGTATTTCTGTACCTCTCAAAATGATCATCACGATAAGTCTAGTTACAACATGTAAAACTATTGCATAGTTATTGTCTTATTCCC